ATGTTAAGGTCTGTTCCCCCGCAGCCGCGGTGGAAGGAGCCGCCGGGAGTGCGAGGTCTGGTCAGTCCTATAAACCTGTTTTTCTCAAGCACGACACAAAACGCTCACTGCGAGACAGAAAACTGAAGTCAAGGCCAAGTTTAAAACCACATCAAAAGGAGGTAGTACACACAGCGTTGCGGGGTACAGCCATAACCGGGGTGCTGGGGGGGAAGGCACAGACACATCAAGAAGGCATCCAACAAATACACTTCTTAGATAAGCAACTGAAGCCCAGAACAAAAACTGGGTCACCTTTGGGGACCGCAGAAGTAAGGATACAGAAATGAAACACCTGAGAATGTTCCAAGATGCTATTTCGTTCTAGATGTGGTGCATTTATTGCTGTTGGTGTTCACAGCCCAGCGCCGCTTTTTCATCCCTCCTGGGAAAGGCACTCAGTGCCTGGAACTCCCCAGTTCATCCCCACAAAAGCTTCCCAGGTTTGTTCTTGGTGCCACAGCTCCAAGAGGGAACAGAAGGCAGGGAAGGGGCTGGAATGCAGCACAGGTACAGCACAGAAGGACAGCCTGGATCATGCATTTCAGTGGAGAGAGGAAAAGTTTTCAGTTAACACTGATCAGTTTGTATGCCTGCCTTCACAACAACTTTAAAGTAGTAATTTTCAGAAAGTACTGAATTAAAAACACCCCTATATTTGCCTAGCATTGCCATGTAAAAATAGAATTAAAACAAGTATCTCATCTGTTAACTTGAAAAAAAATCCAAGCTCACACGGAGCTATGTTAGAGCTTCAAGACTGAAATTCAACTTAAGCAGTAATATGAATAATGGTATATATGTAATGAAGTGCAGAAAGATCCTTTCCATTATATTACACTTTCCCAAATGCAATAGGTTATCATGTAGTGTTTACACAGTAAAAACTATTAGTTTTTCTGAACTTCTCCACAGTGCTCAGAGATGTCACCAACGCGTTCAGCTCGAATACAGACATTTTAAATAGTCTAATAAAAATAGCTTTTTTTTATAAACCACAAGTAGAAGGCAAATATACTGGAGTATGCATAGCTTTCAAAATGTAAAGTATATCATTAGAATCTGAGTATCCTTCTTCATTTATCTGACACAATACACCTTATTTACCTTGACAAGATTTTGGGACAATGATGTTTTGGAAACACGTACTGAAGAACATTAATAGGAGAATGACATTTAGAGGACAAAAATAGGTAATATAAATCATGTGTATTTAGCACACATGTGCCATATGCTCTGAGCTTCCCTGAAAAACAATAGTGCAATTCAGTGTATATACTGAATTAAATCAAGAGGTGGTACACTTTTATTCCTATGAAAAAACATTGTTCTCATAATATTCAGATGTCCTCTAAACTTTGCCTTACTTTATGGAATTATAGCTTTAAATTTAGTTTTCATATGCAAAATATTTACACTTTATAAACCTGCACAATTTCTAATAAACCATATTATATATACTTACACAAAACTTAATTTATATATAAACCTATTTTATCTTGCAGATCAAAACTCACCACATGTACAATAATTTACAATGACAGAAGCTTCAAGCATCAAAACATGTCCTTTAAAATAACAATATTAGAGTCCTCTACAGATTCTGAACTGGACTATTTCCTGGATTGCCTGAATATCATGAAATTTCTGTGAGCATGCCAAATGTTAATTAAATATTAAGTAGCAATGGTTTGCGCTATCATAAAAAATGCTTGCAAGTATTTAAAAAATACCTGAAATGAACAAATTAAAGGTTTACAAGAAGCCTCTGAAATGAAGGCTTGAAACTAGAATTCATTGGAAGATTCAATGTAAGTGCACACACTGTAGATAAATCTTCTATACTGAAGTCTCCTAAGTACTTGAGAATAAATTCCTTGAATAAAAGTTAAACAGTAAGCTGTAAATGTACAAATTTTCAACAATATTTGTAGCTGAAAATTTTTTACCTACTTTGGTATAAAAGCTCCTTCAAACAGGCACATTTGTTTTAGAAGAAAAGCACAGGCTTTAATTATAGAATACTAGGTTGGAAGGGACTTCAAGGATCATCTGGTCCAACCTTTCTTGGTAAAAGCATAATACTGTGGCTATTGCTGGACATTTAAACAATGTCTCTGTGGGCCTGGTTTGAATGATATGCAAGTTCTTTAGAACCATGTTATACTATATTAATCCAAAGAACCAATAGTGTCAGCAGTGATCATTTGTAATATGTTTTAGTGGTGAACACTTAGCCAAACCAGGACTTCTCAGAATCCAGTACAATTGTAATTCATTTCCAAAAAAATAATTTACAAGAAAGAATATTTTTCTTTTATTTTTCTATCTACTAACTTATTTGAACTTTTGAGTTAGAAGCATATCAGTGAAATCCCTTCCATATTTTTATTTTGAAAAAGGAAAATGTGAAATTCTCAGGTAACCAGAATATTTCAATACTTCTCTCTGAAATCTTACAAAAGAATTTGTTTTTATCTCATTAACTCCACACGTGTTCCTAACAGGAATTCACACATACCTAATTTTCCACAATGTGAGTGTTCCTATTGCCACTAATGTGGCATGACATGTAAGACTGCACATGAATTTCCTACAATGTAATAAATTAAAGCATTCTTATGAAAATAATAAATCAATTTCATTTCAATTGTACCAGACTTTCCAAAATAGCTCTTAAATCCCTCCATAATTAGAAGTTTATTAATAATGTTCCCAGTCCACAGATTCTGAAAGGCACGTAACTGAAGAACTGAGTTTCCTTGTTCTGAAGTCCTCCTCAACTGAAGACAGTCTAAAATAATTTGTTAGGCCAGTCTAATGTAAGGCATTAAAAATATTCCTCTTTATGCTATAGATCTATGTTAAGCACCACTTGCTATTACAGTATGGGAAGAAGCCAACATTTTCTTCAAAAATGTGTTTGTACTTGGGACATCATTTGTGAGGGAGATGCTGACGAGGTTGATGAATTGGCTATCTTAGAATTATTTGTGATCTGTAGTTCTTCAAGTCTCCTCATGTAATCATCACGTAATGCAAGGAGCTCCATGTAACGCTGCTCCACTGGATTTGGCTGCTAGAAAGAGATCTGTATTAGTCTTATCACTTCAGTCCAACTACTTCTACACCGTCTGACTGCTGTAGTATTTGTATTTTCCTGACATCATTCAGTATTTGCAGTTTCCAACACATGTAACAAAGTTGCAACTACAAGAAACAAATAGTTCTATAATGCAAAAGTACTCTGCTTTCCTGTTGTTCTTATCCAAAGAAAATGCTTACACTAAACAGTTCTTCTTACCACAGTTAAATCAGCCATCACTTCCTGGAGCATATGGACCTTTTTTTCTTAATATCTAGTATTGTGTAGAATTCCTTGTCTGAAGCTTTTCTCTTCTTGCCTCATTTAAAAGGTTTAAGATTCCAGAGTCTCACTAATTTCCCTAAAAAGTGTTTAGCCAGACTGACTGTTTCAGCTACACTGATGAAATCCATGTCTTCAGATTAAATAACTTTGCCTTACTGATGAAATTTAATTTATTTTTAATAGTAAATTTGCAACTCTGTGTAAATAAACCAGTGAAATAAATGTAAAATTGTATGGGTGAATTTCTGAAAGTAAACCTAAAGGTGTTCAGTGCTCACAGAAAAAGTATCTTAACTGTTTCCAGTCGATGCTTAGCCTTCTTTTTCAGATAGAGTATTGAAACAAACGGAAAAGAAGCCTGACCAATGACCAAGCCAGACACAAAGGCTAAAGTTACCTTCAGCTGTGTATGCCTGTCAAGACGTTGCTGCTGTTTCACACTTAACTGCTTGTAATTAAGAGCTATTAGCAGTACAGTTTCAGGAGCAAATGTGAATGCCTCACCAGTTCAAAACCAGCTGAACCAGCACTCTTAGGTACACCTCTCACTGTGCACCTGAGATGAGGGCAGCAGTGAATACTGAAGCAACTGTGGATGTTGGATCAATGACTAAAGGTAATTACTAAGATGATTAGAGATGTAGGGTTAAAGACATTACCAGTGACAGACCAGACTCTTCATTAGACTGAAGTCTGATGTGGAACATGCTTCTAGCTAATGGCACTAAGAAAGGTTCAGGGCACATGCTCACTATTCAGTTGCTTAAGTCAAGATGAAGCATAAGTTTTGTGCACAGCAAAAAATTGTTCCATTTTGTATATAAAGATGGTGAAAATGAGGGACCAGTAGCAGCAGCATAGAAGATTATTCACATGGGTTTGCATTTCTAATAAGAAACTCCTGCCAAAAACCTTTCTTGAATAATGGCAAAGCGCATTTTTAAGTAGATTTACAGCTAATTTGCATGTCCTATAATCCTTCATTTTCTAAAATAAATCTCTCAATTCACCTTTTGCAAAATGCCTTCATCTTTCACAGCAAGCAACAAAAGCTTTAGAACTAGAACTTCAAATTACAACAGGCAAAGTACTTGTATGAAAATACAACAAACTGTTTGGCTTTCTTGCATCCTCTAAAGTGTTGTAAATAATACAGGAGATCAGCTGCAGAAAAGGAAGTGCATGGCTTGAAAACTCCCGATTCATTCCAGGAGCTGGCTTGCAAGACTGCTTCTGTCAACAAAACTGTGCCTCTATATTTTCTACTCAAAACTCCACAACTTAAAGAGGACAAACAAGTCTCTGTACACTATCTTTACATGCTGAGACTTCTAGCAAAACTGTAACAAAGACTGAGTGTTCGTATATTAAACATTAAAAGCACAGAACTGAACTATTTGATAATTTGATAAAAGCTTTTCTGGGTTTCCTATTTGTATAATTTTCATAACAGTTTTCATCCATCAGTGACAAAAGGTAAACAATGTTGGCTCATCGAAGTTGTATATACAAAAAACCCACCATAAGCCATCAATACCAATAGCAGTTTTGAAAGAGACAGGACCTAACAGGTCATCTTCATTTGCAGAAGACTTCATACTCTCTCTCAGAAAAAGGAGAAAGACTAAGGAAATGCAACTGAGCGTATTTGTGATGCTAATGCTCTAACTTTTCAGGCATCACTAAGCCTGATTTCTAAGCATTGTCACTCACCCTTTAGTAGCTTCAAATGCTCTTAAAAAGTGGTCCCCCAGCAGCTTTCCCCAAGAAAAGGGGCTAGAAAGAGCTTGAGGATGACTTGATACTACTAAGCAGTGAAATAAGTTCAGTTAACTAAATAAATAAAAGGAGAGAGAATTGAATAATCCTTTTCACTTTTTTCTCCAACCTTACAAATACAATACTACAAACCTAACTAGATTGCAGGCAGTACTCTACAAGTGGGTTACGACACAAAATCCTATTTCCAAAGTCTAAAAGCATTTTGTACATTGCAAAGAAATGACTTACTTGCTGCCGAATTCTTGGGTTCCACCTGATGTAGTAACTGACCCAGAGCTCCAAGTGGCGCATGCTGGCTACCGGGTAGAGTGCTCGATTTAGCTCTTTAGTGTAAAAAGGATTGGTGTATTTAGACTTTTCACTGTTTATCAGAGACCACAGTGATAATGTTTTCTCAGTCACTTTCTAAAAAGAAATTGAAATCAGAACAAAATCAAGAAACTCATCACAGACATAGTTACATGCTAAAATTAATACACTTCTGATTTTCTTAGAAGCATAAGTTACTGTATTAGAAATATTCCAAAATCAGTGCTTGACAATTATCTTAGTGACTGCTTTAAGCTTTGGTAGCTTAAGTTTTTAAGCTACCAAAACCAAGGAATTCACCATGCAACTATTCCACAAGAAGAATAAAGGCAATTCAAATCACTATCATATAAGGAATATAACCAATACAATATAACCAAACCTTTTTGTAATCATCTATAGGCATGACAGCAATTCAATTAAATAACCAGTGGTTTGACTAACCTCTTTTTCTCTCAGAGACTCACTGTTGTATAAGAAAGTACCAAACCGGCAACTGTACAAGTGATCCAGGATTGTAATCAAGAACAGCTCATTGAATTCAAAGGCTGTAGGAAACTAACAGAGAAGAAAATTATTGACATTGTAAAAGCCAGGAGATGCACACACCCTAGGAGGCTAAAAGCAGCATTAGAAGCCTGAACACATCTACAAATTATTACAAATATAATAGTTTCATATGGAAGCTCAGATGTTATGTGGTGTTCAGCTTTCTCAAACTAGTCACTGAAAAGAACTCTCCTAAAAATGTTCTGCCTTTAACTTCTAAAAAGAAAGAATACTGAATGGTTACAGCTACATTTTTACTAGAAGACAGAAGACATCCATAATGCACTCTTCGTAGTGTAGCACTATACAGGAAAATAAGGGTTTAGCTCCTAATCCTTGGCCATAAACAGAATAAGTTTGCTTTATTTCATTACTTCTTGAAAATAACATTTAAATCACAGGACTCAACAGCTCCCAAGCTTCCTTTTTAAGCTTTGACAAAGCAACATTTGTCCTTATTGTTCAAGGGATAGCTTCACAAAAATAGTGAAATGAAATAACAGACCCTATTAAACTAGTTGGATGTAATTCCTGTAAAAACTTTCTGCTGAGTCACATCTCAGTAGGTGTCTGAGAAGCCCATATGAGGACAGACTGGCCTTGCATGCACAGCCAGTGTCAGATGAAGCAACACAACTACAGCTTGTATATCACTTTCAGGAAGAGCATAGAGAGACAGGATGGTTTAAAAGTAAATTTCTGACTACAGTGTCAGAGCAGAGGGGTATGCTCTCCTCTTCAAATACTTTTTAAAAAAATAAAGATTGAGGTTTTTAACTCTGTAATCTCTAAACAATGTCACCATCTGAAGAACAATATAACATACCTGTTTAGACATCTGCCACACACAGTCAATAAACTGGAGAAAGATAGGTGATCTGTCAGCATCAGCATGATTCTTATCGCCATGGCCTATTCTCTGAAACATAGCAATACAGCCTCCCATTAGCCAAAACAATCTATTTTATGGCCAACAGACTTTGTTTCTTATCTTGCACTAGAATATTAATGCTTCTGTAATCAAACCACCTGTTCTTATGACTTCAAAATTAGTTACTGCGCCACGGAAGGGAGATTCAGATACACAGTAATGCTGCACAAGTGCTCCAAAGGTGTCTGAGAAAAATCCAAAAGTGACAACTGCTCCAGTTATAAAAACCTTCTACCCACTGGACAAGCAGAACTGTTAAAGCATTCATTACTTTTCCAACAATCAAGACAAATATTGAACTAGATTTACATCATAAATGTGTCAAAAGACAATTTAGATACTTTATCTTCTTTTGTAATTTAAGCTACTAGAGAACCTAGATCTTCAGACTATCCACACAGGTTCTCCTCTTCCCCTCCTCACTTCAACTTGAAGATTTACCCTGAGGTAGACAGTGAACCTGGGTGAACTCAAAGAAACTCACGTTTTTTGACAGAAAATAAATGCACATTTTTAATAGGTGAGCTGCTTATTCTGAGGAGTCTAAAACAACAACAAATGACAAAAAGTATGTTTCGTTGTCACCGTTTGAGCTGGATTGAAAACTAAACTACACAGCTTTAATTAAAACACTAATGAATCATACAAGAAAATATATACAATTATATACAGATAGATTCAGGTGTAGGCAAAAGCCTCTCACCACCCCCCACCCTCAGCAACTCCCACAGCACTTCCCTGAACTGGGAAGAGTCCCGAGGAATCCCGGAGCTGCTGCTGGAGAAAGCAGAGAGTTATGGGGGTGACAAGAGATCAAGCCTGAGGATCGACGGTGATGGATGAACAGAGTCCTCCCTGGACGCCGGCCATGGATGGAAGAGAAGGGAAGAAGAAGAAGGAAGGAAGTTGTCTTCTGTGATCTCTGACCTTCCTTTGAGCTTACGTAGATATATGGAATGGAATATCTTTGGCCAATTTTGCTGTCTGTCTAACTCAGCCTCCTACGGGGGGGTCACAGATCTCCCCATAGTGTCTGAGCTGGCAGAGTGCAGGTGCAGCCTTGAAGCCTCAGTAGTTAGAAAAACATTCCACTGTCTTATCAGCCTAGCAGAACACACTGTTGCTAGTTACAAGAAAGCTTACTGAAGGAAAAAAAAAAAATCAGTAAAAAGAAAAATTGGCTTCATCCTGGCTCAAACCAGGACATTCGTAAATGCTGCTTCCTTAATTTTCACATTTGATAGCCAAGAATAGATAAGATGTAAGATAGCAGACATCACATCTTATAGACATGAAAATGATAAAACCAGTACATTATCCTCCTGGTTTGAGCCAGGATGAAGCTGATTTTTTTTCTTCAGAGAATTCTCTTTCTGAGCAGCACACAAGTTTTCTAGCCAGCAGACTGATAATGCTTGAATGTTCATGTTACTGCCGAGAGACCAAGGACACTGCTCTGCTTGTCAAATCTGCTGCTTTGGATACTAAAGGAGCAGAAGAGTTGTATCTACAGCCTTCTTGTAGGGAGGAGTAGACGAGATGGACAGCAAAATTGGCCAGAGATATTCCATACATACATAGCTTACATACTCCACTTGAGGAAACATATGTGGGGAACCAGACTTTCAGAGATGAGGTTCAGGAAATGCTAACTGCACCGAAGTGCTTAGTCCCCACTATTACAACTCACAGTTCTACCCAATAATTACCAAACTAAAAGTGGTCAAAATATTTTCTGCTTGCATTGTCAGTTTTTATTTTACAGAACACTCCAGAAAAGTACTGTCTTCACAATAAGCTGAACAACCCATCATATAAAAAATATATGATACACTCAGAAAACAGCAGATGGCTGAAGGAAAGTGGCTTAAACCACTTCTAAAGATTATTGCTTGAGTGAGCAAGTTGGGAAAATAAAGTGGTAGTTGAAGCAAGAGTAAGCTATTTCCATCAGCCTCACTGCTGCTACATTGTCAGAGATGAACCAGTGGACTGGACTAGTCATCTGGAAGGGGTGTAGAAGTCCTGCTTCACTAATAGGATGAAAAATCTGTTCAGAGAAAACTACTTCGATTACTCAAACTAAAATTAGTATTTTAAGAAAAAGAGTAATAGATTTAAATTTATTCATAATGGTGAAGGACACACATTTGTGTTAAATCCTAACATGTGCCAGGCTACATGTCTCCTAGTGACACAATCTAATTTTATCTGCATCATGACTCTAACATTTTTTTAAAAATGTATAATAAAAAATAAAATAAAAATAAAATGAGAATAAAAAGGCAAGTCAGTGTTTTCTAGCTGTACCAAGACAGAATACTTCAAAGCTTTAGATAATACATTCACTACTGGAAGACTTCGGGTAAATACTCAAAAAACTGGGCTACAGCAGATACCATTCACAACAATCAACATGCAAATCTCCTAAGCCTCAAAGCACCTTTAGAATGTCAGATCAAAGAGTGCAGCAGCCTACAAGCACACTTAAATGGTATAGTGATTCATGCTGAGCAGCTATACATGAATTTCCCAATGATTGAAACACTTGCAAATATAAATGGGCATGAAATATACACACAGGTGTACTTTTTCATTTACTGATTTTTTCCATATTGCCTATTTTTTCCGATTTTAGCAATATCAAGTAATACCTTTAGAATATTCCACAAGGAACAAATTGTGGAAATAGCTTCCACTGAAGGTGTGGAAGCTTCTTACTGTGAATTACAAGGTTTAGCATCAACATGTAACACTGTTGGAAAACTCCCAGCTTATGTTTTAGACTCACATAACCGAGCACACTCTCCCTGGCAACCTATTCTGCTTCTCCAGGTTCCTCATATAGATTTCCTGGTTAAATGGCTAGGTGCCAAATTTAAGAGAATTTCCAGTAAAACTCTGAAATGTTTTCTAACACAAACACTTAACATTATGCATGGGTAGAATATTAAGGACTTGCTAGAGACAATTTCTACTTAGTCTTCTAAACATCTAGAAGACAACTGAACAAAGCTAGAGCCAGCATTACCAGTGACAGACTCTTGAGAGCGATTAGGACAAGTTTAGAACATTTGGGAAGACACATTCAAAACATCACTTAAGAGACACTGGCCAGACCAGTTTATCAGCCTCTCATGACATTCAAAACAGTCCAAATGGAAGATGAGGGAGAAGCTTCATGTCCCAACCTTATTCAATCTTCTCTGAAAGGTTTAGGAGAACAATTGTCCTGCCTTCTCATTTTCTTTGATCAACAACCATAGTGATCCTAGCAATTCTGTGTTTTTAGACGAGTGTGAAGGACAAGAGATGAGTTCTCAGAAAAAGAATAGCAAAAAAATATTAACCAAACAGGTCTGAAAAAACAAAACGCTCTGGAAATGTTTTAAATCAGAGTTCCAAGATAATGAAGAGAATTATCAAACCTTGACACACTGAGTAGTTTAACATGGAAAGCTTTTTAAAGTTGCATGGTCCTTGTAATTCTTACCGATGCAAATTTATGTCCAAAGCTTATCCACTCTTTTTGCACCAGAACTTCAAAGCCTTCAATAGTTCTGTAGTAGCTGTCTAGCATCAACATGGCCAGTGAGGTGAGCTGTGCTGTCCTGTCCCAGCCATCACTGCAGTGAACCAACACAGAGCTCCTTCCTGAGGATACCTTGTCTGCCACTTGAATAGCTCCTGTCAAGACAAGCTAGCAAAGAGGAACAGATGCCAAACACAGATGTTATCATTTGAACAAAAATAAATTGGTTTCTTTGTATCTAGGCAGTAGATTCAAAGTGTCTAAATTAATACTGTTTCCATTAAAAGACCTAAGGAGTCTGGTGTAGTTAATTGGAAAAGAATTTTCTAGGAGATCAAATGAATTTCTTGTGTAAAAATAGAGAAACAGATTGGTTCCATAATCCCTTAGTAAGATCTAATTCATCTCACTGCAAATTCTTTAAAAATGGGGCAGAAAACAGCAACCTTGATAAACCGAAGAACATAAGCTTCTTTTTTTTTAAAGAAAGAGAGGATTTACCATAAGAAACACTCTCTGAAAATTCTGTATTTCATTTGGCTCCTTTCTTTGAGCTAAATTATGGAAATATCTCAGTTGTTGAAAAAGGAACTTGTATCATTCTCATATGCTTATTTTCAAATAAATAACTTAAAATGAAAATTTGATTAAGCAGGATTCATTACATAATACTCTAAATACTTCTGCACGGCTGTACTTGAAGCAAAAGGTTCAAAGGTCAACTACTAAGAACACTGGTGAATTACCAGTTTAAGTACTTTATTTGTGCTGCAAGATGAAAATTACAACATTTACAAATAAATTTACAGGATTTATTTACAAAACCAGAATTCACTCAATAAAAATCATACATACTGACAACTAATTTCCAACCCTTCACGGTGTCAGTTATCTATAGTCCTGTATTGCTAGAAGCCAAAATAAATCCTCTCACACACGTAAAGACTAACAACACATTCTTCTATTAAAGACTGATATTTAACTTGAGGTAGCAAATTTCACCTACTACTGCTTAGTAATGATATCTCTCAACATACCCTAAGACTAGCTGGCAAAAAGCCAACACTCAGTGATGCTGGTTTTGTAGTCCCTGTCATCTGATGTGTTCCACATCAGAACTATCTCAAAGCCTAGCAAAGAATTCAAGTCTGATTGGACAGATTTGGATATTATTTCAAACAAACAGCAAAAAGCTACCTTTATATGTTCTAACCAGTGGGTTGATTCCAGACTTGACAACCAGTGTGATTCTTCCACGTTAGGATAAACAATGTCCTTCAACTTCTTCAAAGATTCCCTCATGACATGAATATTATGTATGTCCAAAAAGAAAAGTTCTGCATTGGGATATGCATCTTCACCTTCATATCCTCCCCCAGTTGCCTAAAACCAAGAGATCTAAAATTAACTTCACAGTCGTATGCACACTGTTTTATCAGCTTTTCACCAGAGAGACTGAATTTTATTTATATTTTATTTTGTAGTTCAGCAATACCTAATTTCAGTTACCTGTTTAAAACACCAGTTTCATAGACAAGCCTTTGAATAACAAACGCAGGACAAGCATATTTAGGGGCTTTCCTTTGTCCAAAGGACAAAATGTGTAAGCACAGCACATGGCCAGACATACAAGTTGCTTCAGAGAGCCTCATTCCTTTCAAAACCTCAAGTGAGTAACCCTAACAGGGAAAATTAATTAAGATAAACACTAAAAGGTTGGTTATATACAGTTGTGCCTGGAGACCTTCAATTGGAATTGAAATAGCCAAGATCACAAGTCAGGACTCAGACTGCTTTTGAAAATAGAAAGACCTTTGTACATTCCCCATTACTTTTGTGATTCATGACAAGAACAGTTTTTCCTTGACCAACTGACATGACGACATCAATTTTTTTTCTTAATTTATGTTCACTTTTCCCACCACGAATTAAATAAACTCATGATTCTGAATACAATATAAATCAACTTGCTCCCCAGACAGATTATAAAGGTTAAATTAAAATGTAAAGTATATCACACAAAACAACAATTACTCATAACATACTAGTTCAGTACTTCCAGAGAATAAAATAGCTCATTTCTTTGGTTCTGTATAAATGAGAATGAAAATCCAAAGGATTTGTCTGCAAACTTGCTACCAAAAATAAATAAATCTTTCCTATGTTTTGACTGCCTAGTTATTTGTTACTAAAATGGAAAAGATATTTAAACAGATATAAATGATAACATGTTTGGCCCAGTACAAATAAATGCAAGACATTGGTTAAGAATAAGCTACATTGCTTTTAAGAATTAAGTTAAAGAATCTTAGATTCTGCCTCTAAAAAGTAAATTAGCAATAACATTAAAATTTACTTTACAGTAATTTTTCTAACATTAAATTTCATTGCTGAAGATTGAATGTGTTCAGATCATTCAGAAATTCAAGAGCCACATAAGCCAAAAGTCTATTCTACTGCCATTCTCTTGGAATGTTTATCCACTACCACAGCGGAGGATGTGCTTGGTTACAAAAGGAAGAGGGAGAAACCACACATATTTTAAGACACGGTACCACTGATGAGGTTTTTCAAAGAGCTGCAAATCGCAGCATTTCCTGCAGACAGCAAGAACATCCCATGCCATGACTTGTGATAAATAGTTTTGCCTTTATAAGCCATTACAGCCACCAACTTGCACATCAGACAACAACCTAGAGTATGGTACAGCCTTCCCCTATTAGGATCACCTACATTTCTGTATAGCAGCAGAGTATTTCTAGTCTGTGCTCTCTCTATCTCCTTCCTCAGATGCAGGGGTATTCTCAGAGCTGCCAGGCTCTGCACTAGAAGAAATAATGACTGTATTTTTCTTTTTCCTTTATGTATTATGAAATCCTGGTGAGGAATGATTGTAATTTCAGCATCAGGGCTGCTGCAACTCCTACTGACTGTGTGGTCATGACCTATGTACAAAGAACACAGGAATGCATGAGTAGCCTAGACCACGATTTTCCTTATACTCATCTTCACAGCTGTTCATGAAAACTTTTTTCAGTACTGATCAACAATGGCTTGCACTCACTCAGGGAAGCTGGCACATTCTCATATGTAGAAAGCATTAAGTTTGTGTTATTCACCTCTTCTCCCTAACTAGGCTTTTCATATAAACATGGAGCTTCATCAGTGGCTGTTGTGCTCTATGCCAAATGCAACACTGACACACTGGGACTGGCATTATCCAAGCATGCCTGAACAATATGGTCCTCATCCAGAGTTGAGGCAGGACAGAGGAGAAGGCAAAGCTAAAGGGACAGCTTTTCTTCTTGAAAGGTCGGGCCAGATGACCTTCTGAGGTCCCTTCCAACCTGGGCTGTTCTATGAGTCAGATCCCATTTTGGCTTCGACTGCAGATTAGCAAAGAAATGGTCGCTTTGTCAGATGGAAACATCACTTTTGTTACTGCACTTACCAAATACTGGCACCTAGGGAAGAAGAGGAATCTAGGTATCCAGGATCAGACTCATACTGCTGTTTGAAGTGCAAACCCCCAAATTAACTTGTTCATCACTTCTTCATTTGCTGGATGCGTGATTAGGTCTGAAGAGGTTCATTTAATAGTTAGGGAGAACCAAACAAAGGATGCCTATCACTGGGCTTGGCTGTATGCACACAGGCTTTCCAGTCTACAGTTTTGCCAGAGGATATGAAGCAGAGCTGTGGCTTGCACAGAGGTGCCACGGCATTCCAGCAGAGGACATGCTCTACAGCTCTGCCTACTTCTACATCACTATGCTGAGTGTAGTCATACCTGATTTCAGCTCCTCGCTCTCTGCTTCACTGGTAATAGACAGGGTAAACTCTGTCTGGAAATCCACATACAGTCTTGAAACCCTGCTTATGACCTACTTTAGGCAACCACATCCTTCTACGGCCTCAAGCCTGAGTGTTTAAATATATAAATATATCTACATTATGATTACTTCTGTTCCCAAAAACCTCCCCAGAGAAATCTTCAAACTTGTTCTCCTTCCCACCCCCCTTCACAAATAAGACTATTTACCTTGTTTGCAACTGCGTTGACATTGGGCCTAGCATCATAGATGGTCAGTTTTGAGATCTGCCCATTTGCCTCCCTGATGATATCCAGGTATCTTTCATCATCCTTGTTCCGCTTGCCACTCATCCCAACCAGGGGCTGACTGCAGCGCATAATAACAGCTTGAGTCTCTGGATGAATCCATGACAGAACCTAGTCACATGTCAAAAACACATTAGAAGAAACACATTTATTAAAAAAACATACTATAAATTTTAAAGTTACTGTTTAAAAACTGGAAAATATGAAAATTAAGACTTAATTTTATTTCTTCAAGAGATTATCCCAAGACATCTCAACTGCTTCCACTTCAGTCTCATAACATTTAATAAGAAGAATCTTTTTGAGTTCATTCTCTTACAAATTTAACTCTTATTGAAATTATACTTATCTATATAGTCCAGTGTATTTTATTTTCCTGAAAGTCTTAGGTTGAACAAATAACTTGGAAAAGCAAACTGGAAACAAACACAGCAATGCCTGCTGAAACTAAGAAAACTATTCCGAACAAACTCATTGTAGAAATTGTGACTAAGACTCCAATTCTACAAAAAAATCTCTTCTCTCTTTTTGGATAAGAAAGGAAATTGAACCTTTCTGCAGTATTTCATTTCTCAGCCCTCTTCACTAAGAGAAGGCACCACAGCAGAGTGCATGCTGCCTTTGTTGTACCTCCAAGCCAGAGGGTACTCAGCACAAACAAGAACTAGTGAGCAGTCCAACGAACAGATTGCAGTGCAAAGGCTTAAAGATGAGCACCCCAAGCAGGCAAAAACTCCAACTTTATAATTGAGAAATACTAATGAACAGTATTCACATCCAGTCTGAAAGCTGTGGGTTACAGAGTGAAAGAGTATCAAAATGTTAAAAAGAAAGTCCCCAAGAAGTATTAATTCTTGCAACCCAACCCCTAGTTGTATATCTAGAAAGAAGACCTGTCGGTGTGTGCGGGTGAGTGCAATTGGTTATTTCCTGACAAGAATAAAATTGCTATTACCACGGAAATTACTCTCACTGACCCTGTCATGAATTTTGAGATGACAAAGATCTAGCTAGGTTATAAGAACTATGTGCACACGACACATATTTAACACATCTTTACACGTGTGTATATAGTAAACTTACAAATCACATGCCTAGCCTGTTGGTAAACACCATACCTAATAAATATTTACCTTATTGAGTTTCACATCTGTTTGAAATTAACTGACATTCAAGGCAGCTTTCTAGTACTGGCTAAGAATCTAACACCTCTTCCAAGTTTGCCAAATTAAAATATTAGTTAGAACAGCTTGTATTCAGATATAAATTAGTATTTTCTGTAGTGCTGTGAAGAGCTGATATGTAAGAATTACCTCAAAAAAATTTAATTACAGAAACATACCGAAAAAGTAAAATGGATTTATCTTAAATTGCACAGTGCAGTTTAAAGAACTAAAAAGCCTGAGAATTTACTATGGAGACTGTGTACGGTGTCTTATTTTAGGACTGACCATTTGGAACTCTGTTAAAATGCCATGTGGTTTGCTTACAGGAGGATAACATTTGCTATCACTTTTTACATGCATCCAACAATAGTCAACACACCAGTACAGAAGGCAGCCTAAGGCTCATACTTCGTTGAGAAAAGGGAAAAAGGGAATCTGCAGTGCTGGTAGTTGTTACTAGAAAAGCCAAGTTAAAACCAACCAAGTTGGAACAGGCAATTGTTGTGGGGTGAAAGGGGAAACGTGGCTTGGCCGAAACACTTGTTTCAAACAGTAAAAACCACCAGCCAATCAGAACGACTTTGCTGCAACCATTTCCAAGAAAGCACCCTCTGTGTTGTCTTCATCAAAAGTTGTTGGAATGCATATTTACAAGTAGCTACACTGCAAGGTAACTTTCACCACACAGCACTCACCGGGATTCTGTTTCGAGACCTGAAGGAAGCAACTTTCTTGAGGTCGTCATCGGTCGCGTTATACGGCACCACCAGCAGCGACGGGTACGTGTCGCACAGCCCATAGTGCTCGTTGATGAAGGTGACCCGCCACCGCTCGTTGGGCAGCCCCTGAAATGTAACACCAAGTTTTTCAATGGGTTTTGTTTGGTTTGGTTTTTTTTGGATGTAGAAATAATAGCTCTGCTTCTGAATTTTACATGGCATAACGGCCACATGGTGGCAACAACCTACTAATTTAACCTAACTACAGCACTGTTTCAAAGCACTAGGAGAGAAAAGATTACAAGAGCACACAAAGCAGGTCACTGCTGATGGATTCACAGCCTTCAACAAATGCAGAGCTCTCATATACTCTTACATACACAATTCTATTATTTTAAAGTTTCAAAACAATTATTAAAACTAGTGGGATTGAGAAAGCAAATTGCCTTCCCTCCTCCCTCTTCCTTTTGCCTGCTGAGAAGACAGGGAGAGAAAGTCTCATCTCAAACTTTTCTCCATGGAGCCTAATTCTACCTTCAGTTAAAAGTAAGACTTGGAGTGGCTCTCTTAACTGAGAAACACCACTCTGCTCGGTAAGGCATTTCAAAGAGCAGCCAGGAAATTAAGAAAGACTGATAAGCCCTCCACCCATGCACAGTGGGGTTTATGTGGGTGTCTGTATTCTAACTTTTTTGGGTCTTAGGCCTCTAAACCTTGAACCAAAAAACTATGGAGGAGAAAAAAAATTCCAAGGAATTATTTTTAAGTCATATTTAAAGTAAAAAATGAATTGTCTAAAAAGCATTTTAAAATTAAATATATAATCCCCTTTTACTGACAATTTTCCAAAATTACCTAAAGAACAAGGTAGAATACTGATAGACATAGAAATAACTTCTGTAAACCAACAGTTTCTAAAATAAGCTGCTTTTTTTCCCTCCTTTCATTCAGGAAGACATAGACCAAATCAAATCTATATTTAGGACACTGCACTTACATATTTGGCAGATTCTTCCTGCCTCCGATCACTTAACAGTGGCACATTGTAAAAAGTATCACTAAATTCCCTCAAGTAGCAAAGACTACTTTCCTGTGACATTTTAAATTTTTTTTAAAGGTTCCAGTGTTTTATTTTTCTTCACTTTTTTGCAAGTTGTATTTCCATATTCTCCCATTCCCAGCCACCCCCAACAAAAAAAAGCTGATAAGAAAAATGCACAAACAATAATTCCTCTTTGTAAGTTGTCAGGTATGAAAGGACCAGGCAACTGCAACTTCAATAACTCACTTGTCTCCTGTATTCAGCCATTGGATTGTACACCATCCATCCATTTTCAGAAAACTTTTCTTCATTTACAAATGCAAAGAAAAGCTGTAGGATGTAAAAGAAGCTTATTACAGCAAACTCACTGAAAGTGGCAAATATTAGGGCTCCTTGTCAGGTATGCCCTAATGCCCGTCACAAAATAAGAGTTGTCAGGCTATAAAGCAAAGTGCAGGACATAATAAACAATACAGATCTGCTAATGAAATAATCAAAATGTGACAATAGTTGAAACAAGAAGTGACATAATATTAAAAATTACAAAGCTTAAACTGCTGGATTTTTATTTTTTTTTTACTGTCAGGAGGTTGAAATGTTTTAAAATAGTTTATATTGGTTTATTTCCTGATAAACTACTTTCTTCTCACCAAAATTCCACCAATAGGCACAGCTGCAATTACTACATACAATACTAGACTCTAAATTGAAAAAAAAAATTAATTGCTATTCATTGCCATTAGGAAGTAGCCTCCTTTTTGCATCCCTCTTTAATTGTTTCTTATTAACAGGAAAAGGGTTGAGTGTGAAACTTGATGAAAATTAAAAAGATTCCATTAAAAGGACAAAAAAATGCTGTCAGCAGGTTATACTGTGTACTTTTCTATTGCTTTGTTGCTGATTCTCAAGACTCATTTATACAACACAGCATCTTCACCCAGGATTCTGAAAAACTTCTTCATACCTTTTAGTTTGTCTTTCCTTCTCCTTTCAAGCAGTTCCAAGAAGGCTGTATTACCTAACCAACCCCTTTCTTTCTTAGCTTGTTTTTACAGTTTATGTTGAAAACAAAAGTAATGTACCCCATTGAGAAAACCAATTTTGGTGGCTCACAAATTCTTTGGGTGCCAACTGGAGCATGAAACTGAGCTGCTTAAAAAAAAAAGAGAAAAAGTAAAAAAATGCAGAGGAGAATGTGTTGTCCTCAGCTAAGGGAGAAACTGAAGCCAGAGCAGAAAATGTTCATTAGCACATTTGTAACAATTAAGCTGAAAGTGTCCTAACTATGAAAATACATTAAAAGAAGAAACTGAATGCTAAACTGAACATCCCAAATCCACAACACTTTCACAAGATAAATGTGAACTAAGCAGAAATGCAGAAAACCTGGCAAGGAAGAAAAAACAAAAAGTGGTTCTAAGGTGGCATTAATCTACAGATGGAAGGCACCAGAGGCCCCGCTGGAGGTTTCCTTAGATCTTAGGGAGACAGACTCCAATGGCTCCAGGCAATTCTGTTTAGCCTAATATGTTACAATGGTTGAAACAGTAACAGCTCTAACCAAACACTAAACTGAAGCCCTCAAAAGGGAGGGCTCTTTTCATCATCAAGTATTTTAAAAGGACGTTGCTGCTCGCACAAGATACTCTATCCTGCTAGTTTCAGAAACTGGAATTTTAAATTGAATTGAATTGGTATTTTAGAGCAAGTAAATTAATCAGCAAGTTTGCAGATGCAAAAAACACATTCCCAAGTTGTGTTTTATGAACATTCTGTTTTATGAACATCCTCACCACTTTTAACGGGGTAGGCCTTCAGTGTAAGCATTATATATTCTTTTGACTTAGTCAAATTCTATCGAGTGGGATGGAGGGAGAGATGAAGAAAGGAAGAGGACATCAACTGCATCAGAAAAAAAACACATTCCATGAGAATTTGATGCAAGTTTCAGAAGTTAAGCAGAAAAACTGAAAAGCTTGCTTGGTTGTTTGAACTGCAAACAGGAATAGAGCATAACAGGAATATCACTACCTAAAGCTGCAGATGCAAATCATTTGCTGAGCTATTAATAGCTAACTAAGTACACGTAGAACCATCCCCTCCTCCCGAAAGGAATTTGCTACATCCCAGAGAGTAACTATGCTAAGAATTCACCAAGGGACCAGAGAGACAAAGGAGAAACTAACAAACAGGAGGAAACAGATCACTTAAAAGATGTCTCAAAGGCAGGAATGTGTTATTTATTGAAGTTGCTACTTTCTGTAAGATTCCCGGTGAGAACTTAAAAATTACCCGGCTTAAGCCCTGATAAGTAGAATGCATGAGTTTATTACAGTGCACTGTGGTATCTGTTACAAAGATTTTACAGACAAAGAGGGTACTGCTCCAAACTAGATATAAAAAAATGGCAACTATGCTGTTCATGTCACCCACAAAATAATCTGCAAGAAGTCAGATGGAAAAGTTTTCATTTTTTAAAAAAACAGTGTTAAATTTACTGTGCATGAGGAGATGGACAGAATCCTTTCCAAAAGAACAGTGTCCTGCTATGTACAGAAGGTTTAATGTAAAGCACTTAGCTATAGAAACTGTACCACATCTACCACAAAAGTTTTCAAGTCATGAAACCCAGAACTATTAAAATTGACAATTAGGCTTCATCAGTTGTTGACTTTTCAGGTAGTGCAAATTCTTCCTATATTGCTCAAGAAAAGAATCATGAGTAGCATGGGTCAACCAGCAAAAACCTGAAGTCCAACCACTAACAGAATATTGCAATGAATGTGAACGTGTACAGAGCAAAGTTAGAAACTGGATTTTTATATGAGCAATTTAAAGACAGCTCTTGAAGTATACTCCAACAAGAACAGTATTTAAAAATGAACAGTATCTAAAAACCTCAAGACTAAACTTATTTTTCTTGAGGGTTGACTAAATTATAGGAGAAAATTATACACACATTTACGTGTCCACATTGTATGCAGTCTGTACAGATAACCTGGTTACTACTGAAAGTCTTTCCTTCCCTTCACATCTATTGTACAACCCTTAAAAACCCTCCCTCTCTCCGAACACTATTTTAAGTGCTCTAGAGGAGCCTCCATCCTAACAACCTCCACTCATTTCTTCCTTCCCTCTACATACAAAATTCCATTCCCTTCTCCCATCATTAATCCTGCCTCTCCAACAAAAATCAAATCTCCACAGGACCTATTGTTCACCAAGTCTATTTTCCAGGGAATTAAATCAACTGTTTCTAAACTCAAAAACTTCTGGAAATTTAAGAAAATAAAACCTACACATGAGACATTCAGATACAGAACAGTACTGCAGTAAAACAGAAGCCTGCTTCATTTTGTTATGTCTTGGTTTTTTTAATCATAATCAGGCTTTTTAATATAATGAACATATAATGAGAACAGAGAACTGTGGTTTGTAGAGGTATACCTGAGCCAACTCTAGATTAGTTTGGTTGGATACTAAGTATGAGCAACAGTAACAAGTTTCAGGTAGGCTACCTGCTCAATAAATCAGTGTTACAGGCTGAGTTGGCCTCACTCCTGTCAGCACTGAGACCAGCCAGCCAAAAGCCACCTGGATAAAGCATAGATTCATCTTAAATTATACTGGCTTTATCTCACATCTTGTGAGTGGGATAGTTTACCATCACTTCCAATGTACTGATCATATCTATTCTAAGTTTGATGGAGATTAGTGCTACATATCTGAAGCCCATTGACTCCTGTCTATCAACTAATTAAAAACCAATTTCACATTATTTTCATCTGCCATAGGAAACAAAGAAGAAATCAAGGGCAGTATTGAAGAATAAACAAAAAAATACAGTAGATTACCACTCAGAAGAAGGGTGCAAGGCTTGTGTAGTTCTGTAGTTCGTAAAAACAATTAAGGTTTATAATACATTAGTTAAGGTCTTTGCAAAAGCAAATTAAAGCCTTTTTGCATAGAATGCAAGTAGGGGCTTCATCACAGACCCATGGTCTAAAAGCAGAAGACCACTGATTAACTTGAAGCAGAAGGCTACTACTTCACTTTCAAAAAAAAGCTTTCAAATCTCGTATCATTTTTGGTAAGTTACTTTTCATGCTTCACTATGCAAGTAATCCTGTTTATTTCCTTGCAGGTGCTAACCCACAATTTCTAAACACAGTCCCTTTTTCAGTCCTCCTACAGATTAAGTGCTTGCCTACAATATCCAATTTATCATTACCATTTTGCACACATATAATGTGATGCACTGTCTGCTCACAACACAATGTCGTTCTGCAAGATAAAGGAGAGAGCAGCTGCTATCTGACACTACAGTTTGGTGAGCAGTCTATTTACAAATATTTATATGTTTACTCTATATAAGGAATCATAGTACATAAATATATGTTGTACTTCTACATGAGCAGATAACATACAATTTATTAAGCATCTGACAAATGCATTGCAAAAGAAGAAAGCAACAAACCAGAACAAGGTGTTTAACACATGTAAAGAAGGTAAACTGTTTTTCTAACTTACTGGTTTATGCTTTTCACACATTATAAAACACTAAGCTTGTACTCAGTGAAAAGGCTGTTAGTTTCTCAGTGTGCTTAAAAATAAAAATGTTGTTATCTTTGCCTTTAATATGCCATTACTACATCTCAAACTGTTACACGTTACCTGTTCAGCTCGAAACTAAGATCAGGTAAGGTATTATTTACATAATAACTTTTGATCATTTATGAATATGGTAACTATGCACCACTATTGCACTGAGACTGCCAAGTCATTCAGAATGAAGCCTCAAGTCAAGATGGTTTTTGCAAAATCCACTGTCATCAGGATAGGCACCTGTGCCAGGCCTCACTGCCATCTAAATCATCTCTGCAGATCCAATAGCAACACTGGCATGATTTGACTGACATTTTAAATTACCAGGATAACTAGCTACATCAGGAGTGGGAGAGGTCAAAGCCAGGCAGCATGACTGCCAGTCTCTCAACAAAACTGGCATTCCCACAGAGCTATCATGGTTCAAAATAAGTATGTATCATGCAGGTATTATTTTAGGAAAAAATGTTAAACATGATAACGTGTAGCTTCAAGATAAGATCAGGAAGTCAAGCAGCTGCTATGCAGAAATTAAACTACAAAGACTAAATAAATCTCATCTTGTGTGGGGTACTACAAACATTTAATTTTGGGGGTTTGGTTTTTTGTGTAGGTTTTTTTACGCTTTTTTGATAACACTTTTAGCAATTATTTTCTTTCAATTGGCATGCATTTGCAAATGCAACAGAGGACTACAGATAGCAGCTGTTTGTTCCACATCAACCAAGCTGCCAGTCAAATGAGCTATCAGATTTTATATCATCTTATTGATCCAAGGAGATATGAACACAAATTGTGCTCAAACTGGAGAGAGACAAGAATTAGCTTCTGTACTAAGTACAAAGGACAATGTTGAGACACTAACAAACACTTGTTAACAGACGTGATTTATTATAGGCTCTCAATCACTGCGGTTGGGATGGTGACGGGGAAAATCTTGACAACAATAAGAACACACCACTCAGATAAAATGTTTTGGGGTGTATTTACCATCCATTTGTTTGAGTATAGTATAGCACAAAGAAAACAGAAGAAAGGCATTTCTAAAAGTTCCTGTTTAGGATCAGCTCTAAGAATCTGGTTCCACTACAGATAAAAAAAAAAAAAATCAGTCAGACAAGAACTATACAAAATAAAAAATACAGATGAAAATCTGTATGTTGCACAAGCATCAGTGGTCTTGAACTAGCTGAAGATCAAGGATGCAGTTCTACAAGGTGGTCTGAGCAAAGGTACTTGTTTAACACTGCTAAATCAGGTCTCCTCAAGCTATTAGAAATGGCACAAGATTACCTCAAAACACAGAACATTATGTGCTGGATAAGTGAGCTCATTGGCTTGGTGATCATACAACTGTTAGTTTGGTACTAGAGGAACACCATGGCTGGAAGGTAGGGAGAAGACCAGAGAAAAACAAAACCTCTGCATTTGAGTCGCAGAGGACTGCCATCTCCACAGCTGTCATATGAAGCCACAGGACGTTCCTTGTAACAGATCTCCCTAATGGATCTGGCTGCTTGGTCTGAGCGCTAGTGTCCATTCCAAGGAGAAGGCAGGCATGCACAGCCCAGACACACTGTCATATTCAGACAGTGAAACCATATTCCAAAGCAGCCACTGAAAGAGGCAGTCCCCATCATCCCTCTTCATTCACATCCACCCACAAATGCCTCAACCACATCCTCACACTGGGCTGGCAAGATTGAGGAAATGACTCAGGGCAAAGCTTTTCCTTTTTCCCCCCTAGCTCAGCTTTAATCCCTTTCAGTTCCCTATCTGGTTCGTCATGCAGCCTCAAATTCACACAGGGAAAACCAAGACAGGAATGAACAACCGGACAGAAACACCCACACTTGGCAGGATCAATTTAAATTGCCTGCTGAAATACAGTGAAAGCACACCAAAATTATCACACACTTGCTTAGCTCATTTTAAATCGAAGGGTTCAACCACACCGTGACATAAGAAAATAAGGACAAGTACAACTTCATAATATAACAGAGGATCACCTTTTGTTATTTGGCATAACTTTTATTGGCAAGTCACATTCAGAATGGACAAGGCTACGTAATGATGAGCTTCACTAGGTGCAACAGATGCAACAAATGAAGCAGGAAGTGCACTACTCCACACATTGCTCACTACCATCACTAGACAGGAACCGCAGGTCTCTCTGGAGCACAAAACATAATAAAAGTCTGCACCTCATCACCATGTTAATCCAAGCCCTGTAGCTGGATTGGACACCATAAAAAAATAAATCCCACAAGGGCCTCTCCCTAAGTCAGTTACAGCTTCATTTGCCCACATTCACTACAAGCAAATCCACAGAGGTTCTCAAATGCAAGGAAAAAAGAAAGACCAAATATTGCAGAGACACATGATGGAATCTACCTTGTAGGAAATATTCAAGACTAGCCTTGACTGTGCCCTGGGTAACCTAACCTAAGGCTCTACTTGCAGCAGAAGCCTGGACCAGATAATTTCCAGAAGCACATTTTCACCTAAGCTTCTTTATAATTTGGTATTTCTACATATAGCTTTCTCTCCCTTTTCCATCATCCTTTCAAAATCCCATCTGAACTTCAAATATTCTGTGATGCTTTCAATAATCCTCTATTGTCAGATGCATAAAATGGCAGCAGTAGAGATATATTCACTTCTACAACTATTTTCTTTGTAAGTACAACTCCTCACACCTACCCAAATATAGAGATCTCAGCTTAATTTAAGAACTATTCTTCAACATTAAAAAAATATTCTAAGAAGCATTTATTTTTCCTTAATATTTTTAAGTATTTCCTTTCATTCCACAGATGTAGCCTACAGAATGCAAAATTTCTGCAAAAAAGTTTTAAATAATTAAATATTTATAGAGTATAGTACATATTGGCACGTATTTTTTGATGAGATAATATTCTTGCTGCAGCCTCATATACTCAATAATTCTCAGAACAAAGTTCTTAAAAATCCACAGCAGAACCCTCCAATGTTTTGTGAAGAGAGCTCTCACACAATTATCCTAAATGAAAGCACCCCAATAAAACAAACTGAATTTCACAAAAGAAAAAAACAAAGCACTTAATAAAGAGATGTCAAAATGATCCACCAAGCACAGTACAAAGGTTTTGGCAAAGAAACAAAAGATCCATCATTGTTGCACAATTCCACTCATTTTATTATTTTTTTTCCTTACATATACTCAATAATTCTCAGAACAAAGTTCTTAAAAATCCACAGCAGAACCCTCCAATGTTTTGTGAAGAGAGCTCTCACACAATTATCCTAAATGAAAGCACCCCAATAAAACAAACTGAATTTCACAAAAGAAAAAAACAAAGCACTTAATAAAGAGATGTCAAAATGATCCACCAAGCACAGTACAAAGGTTTTGGCAAAGAAAGAAACAAAAGATCCATCATTGTTGCACAATTCCACTCATTTTATTATTTTTTTTACCTGAAATTATTCTGTGTAAATTCATTATTGTATATACTGTTCTACTTTTCATTGGTTTCATCACTAAAACAAGTGTTGTTTTCCCAGGTTTTATTTTCCTGAAGTAAAACTCTCGGTGATTCAGCCTTGGAGACTGCTCAATAGTTTTAACATTTTGATTAAACCAAGTAAGCCATGTATCATATTTCCTGATGAGGGAGGATAACTTGCAGTCTCAAAGCCATAAAACGTTTGGATCAGAGGTGCTCAGTAGCTCACCTGAAGTACAGCACGTAACATCCAGAATCTGACAAATACATAGATTTAAGTGTTTTAAATGTATTAAATTCTCATTAGTTTATGCTGACATCAGATTCTGTGGTTATTCTTTTTAAGCAGCCAAGGTGTCCATTAGTAGGTCAAACAGATAAAGTCAATTGGCAAGTATTCTGCATTAAGATGACTCAACAGTATGAGGGATTTAACTTACCAAGTTGTGCGACTGTGGAAAAGCATATTTTGTGAGGACTTCAAATATATCTCTTCTACTGTGCCCTTCTTGTTTTAATGCAAACCGTAAATTTCTCATATCCTAAAACAAAGGCATTATCTTTTAAGAGAACTAAATCAGTAATACTTTTATCTGATGTACAAATGCTATATTATACACTAAATATGATTTAGAACCTGCTTCCAGGACAACTCAGACTGTAGTGAATGTTCAGTTTTATTTCTTAGCCCATAAAACAGAAGAGAGTGTAACAGTTCTCCAAATAAAGCAGTATCACATTTTGTGTGGTGCAAAAGCTGCTTTGGCATAAAGTCATCAGAAGTGACACTATCTGATCCACTAAAAAGCCCCATGGGCTATTGAATGTTTGCAGGGTGGGAGTTACTCTGTTTTCAAATTGAAAATTTGCCAATAAATTGTCTAGACTAGGCTATCCCTAGCTATTTGCTCATCACCAACATCAAAAATAAGCAATCTGCACATTAACTAAGAATCAAATGTGTATACATACTACATTAATGAGCCAAATAAAGCATCCTGAATTATTTGTTAGGAACTCCCCTATGATCACTGTTTCATGGCAATATAGGGGGGTTTTTTTGAGAGATTAAGGAAACAGAGATAGCTGTTATGTAAGCTTTTCACTGGCTTTGCATCTTACAAAACCTCTGTTTGAGGTGTTCTTCAAAGACTGAGGACTATAAAAAAAATCCTCTTAGATTAAATAATGAAGCCATGCAGGAATAATGCCCTAAAACAAAGACTACTGCGTAAAACCTTTTGTCACTCAGTGATTTGGAAAGGAAGCCCAAACTCTGTCCTTGCATGCAGATAGGAGTTAAGTAGTCCTTTACACAAGGACTTTTTTACACAAGAGGTATTTCTCCCTCTAGTTCCAAAAAGCTCCTTTTGAAATTCAGCTGTGAGTAACATGTGGTTTTTCATTCTTATAAACAGGTAAGTAGTGAGAAAGGGAATTGCTAGATTTCATTTCCTACTGAATCATTGAAAAGTCTTACTTTACAGGTTATATCTAATCCATAAGAGTTCTCTCCTCTGCTTGAAGCTCCTCCCATTTTTTCAATCCTTGAAATTACACCCAATGGAACATCCAATACCACAACTGGATCCTGCAAGAAAAGTTTGAGTAAGGAAAGGATTAACTTGAATACTCAAGCAAAAATATTCTTATGCATTCTAAAGCAGAAAGCAGACATTAAATACATACAGGAAGCAAAAGTGTGTTTCTGTATTTGAGTCTCCCTTCCTAACATGTCTGTACAGTCACTTTACAGCCTGGAACATCATTCAACTTAGGATACAACAAAAATACTTCATACTTGATACAGTATGCAGGGCGAAAATCTGGCAACACTAAAAGATGCCTTCTGCTGCTACATGCTTCTGATTGCCTCTGCTTGCTAAGATTGCTTTATTGATATATAGAATAAACTAGAACAAAATGAAAGAGATTACTAGATGAGTCAGCTGCAACCAGAAACACCTCTTTTCAATAGTCCAAAAACCTTATTTGAAAAACTCAACGTATTATGAAACAGATAAAAAGCGCAATTTCTTCTCTTCCATGTTGCTTCTTATTGAACACACTGCTACTCCCTCCACCCAGCTGAGGTTCTACTGACCAAGGTATTTTTCTTTCCAACAGCAAGGACAATCAAAATCTTGGTTTACTGACAGACATTTTAAGAACTATTGCACATCATTAGTTGCTGTCCTTGATCTATCACAGAGAAAGTGTAAAGGGAACAGCTATGAAAAAGCTCCAACAGACAATAGGTAAAGGTATCGGTTCAGTTTAAGAGATTAAACTGTAATTTTATGAGGCAAATATCACACTTCTACAACACATTTCATTTTACACAACTTCCATTTTTGTACGTATTTCTCAGTTGCACAAAGGCTACTACTATTTAGTTACTACATATTTAAGATATGGTTATTACAAACATTACAGACCATTTAAAGTAAAAAGACTCCCATGCAATTCCACAAGCATACATGTGCCAAAACTAAAACCAAATGAACTGGCCACAAAATAAACCAAAGGCAGTGGAGTTGCAGGGAAGGGGGTTTAAAGCCAACTCACCCCACAGAAGTACTTTGGGTGTATTACTCACATTTTCCACACTTCTTAGGTACAGCCTGTAGTTTGTGATGTACACTCTTCCTTTAACAGGGCCATTAAATGGACACATATAAATAACATCCTTGTCTGTAAAAAATGCAGCATTTCTTAAAGATTATGGAAAGAAAAAAATCAGAGCTAAGGACAAGATGTTTTAGGTAGCAGTATAATAAAGGCAGCAGCACTGGCAAGAGCCACTGAGAGATAAATGAAATCACAACTCTAACTTTGCCCACTGGAGTTAAGAACATGTGAAAGTTCCATACACTAAACTTGTTCAAATTAAATCAACAGATCTCAGAAGTCTTCCCTAGTTACATTTGTGCTCTCTTATTTCTCAGCACTGTGTGGGAGAGGTCAGGACATAGAACAGAAAGCAGTATTAAGTCCTCTGCACCTACTGAACCTGTCAGTATCCCAGAAAAAATACATTCTTATGTTGATACCATTATATCTTTCAGTGCTCTGTAACCAATCCTGCATTAAAGTACATAGTCCAAGTTGTAAAGTGATTAGGGAACTCACCATCCTTAAGAGAAACATCACATTAGAGGCAATCAAATCAAGCAGGGCCATCACTACTGTTTCAGAAAGGACAGTAACAAAACAAGCACTAACACATGCTACTCAAAACAAAAGATTTAACTGAAGCAACGACAGTAAGGACTTCAGTGAAGCACTACCTGTCCACCCACTTATTTAGCCCACTCTATTTACCATCCTTCTACAACAAGTGCCTTCCTCTGAGTGTGCTGCCCCAAAGCACAATAAGGATCATATCAAACACTCATCTTAGTCCCACACCCTCTCCCTCGTGCCTTCCCCACAACCTTCCTCATTAAAAACGTAAGTACTTCCTCTGAATCACCACTTTGGTTTCACCTCAGCCAATCTTATTTACAAATACCCCTAACAAATCCTCAGGCCAGGAGGAAGGATAAGCTTCACAAATAAAGACAGACCACTTGCAATTGTATTCTGAAACACAAACTTCCATGACTGGAAGGCTCCATTCTTGGAAGAGCCTCCATCAAGTAAAAAACCACTGTTAACAATACATGAATCTTCCTTACGCTATAATGTGACAGTATTTAAAGGCACAGTAGCTATGTGCATGCCATGTTGTCTCAAGGAAGCAGAAGATTGTAAGCAGAGTTCTCACAGTATGGGCTAAGGTCCCAAAAGGCCATACAAGGAATCAAGACATAGCATAGCGGGTAGCATTCTCAACTTCAGAAAGTTTAGAGGGACTCTTGTCACTAGACATGTGCTACTTATTTTGTAGATATAACACATCTTGACTTGTAACTTCTTTGCATTAAAGGAGCTACCATGTGTGGAAAACAAGATTTTAAAGGTCTTAAAAAGTTACTTGTCCCTATTGCACTTACTTTAAAAAATTCATGACATTTTAGCAAGACTTACGCCCACCCTCAGCCCAAACCAGTCCAAATTAGGAACAATCCAATAAGGTAAATGTAAATGCCTGACTCCTAAACATACACTGCACAATGGAGCTATACAGCTTTGTACCTGTAACTCTAGTCTCTCCTGGCAGACGAGGTATTTCTTCATTTTGTTCCCAGGTAGGTCCATCTTTTAGAGTCTAAAGAGAAGTACAATAGCACATCATATTTTATTTACATCTTCTTCAGGTTCCAAATTAAAAATCTTTAAGGTAATCTCTGCATGGGAAAGATTGGGTTTTTCCAAAGTAGAAACTGATAGACTGAACCAAAACAGGAACACACCACTATCCTAAACTGCAACTATTAGACCAAAACATGCTTATGTTTCAGATTTGTTCAACTATTAAATGTTTTTCTCCTTCTAAAAGAACAGTAAACTATATTTGCATTAAATTTCTATACCACAAATTCACTGAAAATTTTGTATGATGGGTCTGGAAGAACAAATCAACTGAAATCACTTAAGCAACATGCTCACAACTATTACACACAATCTACTCATTTGGGACTTTTCCACATTCAGTATTTTTTAAGGATTATGAAAACAATCTTTGTTTTTAAACAAATTTTTTAAAAGCTAAATAAAACCTTGCTTCCAAATTCCTTGCACACAGGTTACATTTTCTTCAGCCAAGCAGCATCAAAAAGCAGAGGGTATTGCTTTAATGTATTTCCCACTACAGATGAACATTTTAAAACTGAGCCAGCCACAAAACTAGATATAACTTATCAGCTGCAGCACAGAATCTTTCTGCAGCATCAAAGTGCCAAAAATTTTCAAGAAAGCCACAGAACATCTCAATGTGGAAAGCAAATATAAAAGTTAATTAGCCTTGATTTCAAGAAGGCTCTCTTAACTTATGATACAGAGAATATTTCACCCATCCACTCTGAAAGTTATTTAAATAAACTCAGCTGCATAAGAATTTTAGCAGTAAGTATATATATTCAAAAAATATTTCAAATACTCATTTTTCTAACCAAATACAGAAGATAATGATCACTGAGACCACTCATATAAAACTCATGCAAAAAGTTACTTACCCTTTTACTTGAGGAACTCTCCAAGGAGTTTGAATTATATTTAGGTGTTGATGATGAGGCCATACCGGGTATCTGATGAAAAAGGACAAATTGGAAACTTAAAATTCCTCCTGGACTACATACTATTAACAGAAGAGATTTAGATGTTAGAGGTCCACAAGCTAACATTAGAAGCTTCCAAGAATGTTTTGCAAGTTACTATTAATTTTTTTTTTTGAAATTACACAATTCCTTGTAATTGAAGGTCACTGTTTAAAAGCATCCAAATCTAACATGAAATTCATTACTAGCTCTGGGATTGTGTCTTATTATAAGGAATATTATGACTCAAGCTGTATTTTGGGATTCAGTTGTTTGAATGCTATTATTAGTTCAGTCAACAGACATTAGAATGCTTAAGTGACAGGATACACATACTATGAAATGTAAGTTACTTGAGGCATTTGTACCAATACTTTAATTTAGGAAAACAGGAACAAACTATAAAATTATTGCAAAGCACTTATAATCACAAGCATGTCAATGTACTCAAGTGTTTCAAGAAACTTAAAAAAAAAAAAAAAGAGAGGGATGGAAAAAGCAGGAGTTCCACAGTACTGTCTACATTTTAAAACAATTCTCCCTTTCCTAAACTGAAACTTCAGTTAGCACACCAGAAGGGGGAGTGTCCAGCCTTCTGGTATGAATAGCCTTCATAGGTTTAAAGGAAAAGGATATTCTATTTCTTTTTTTAATGGCATTGACTGAAGACAGAACTGTGTGATAAAGGATTCACCTTCTTAATTTCCTGACATTGCATAAGGGATGTCTAGAACAAACAATAGGAAAACACTCATTTTAAGTTACTCAAAACTGTAACTTTGTACTAAATTACACTTCCCTTTCACTAGTCACACACCCTTCTTCAAGCCGAGCTGACATCCAACAGCAATCTTGGAAGAGTTTCTGTTAGGTTCCTTGCACAGGGTGTGTGTGATTACTGATCACAGAACCTTCGCTTCTGTTCCATAATGAAACATTGTAGCCTTATGCACAACGGAAAACCAGTCCATGCTCCTGCACAACAGCAGGGTCACAGTGACTGTCACAGGCCCACACAAGTGATGGCAGCAGATTAAAATGCAAGATCCAAACCACTCTGAAGTTACTGTAACAATACAGGAATGTGTCTGTGCAAGGAAGCGGGTGGAAAACCACGACCTGAAGTTCTACACGTTTTTTACCTCCTTACAGTGCCCAAGTCTTCTATATCTCATACAGAAAACATAGGAAACCTGACATTGTGTTTAAAATGGTAATATTCAGTGATACAGCTTAGCAGTAAGAAAAATCATACCCCTCTAAAAAAACAAAGAAACAAAAAACTTAAAAACAAAAAAACCCAAACCACAACAGACAGTAATAAAAAAAGGAACCCACATTAAGCTGAAAAATTAAGACAAATGCTTTTGACTGCTGCAGAGCCTGTGTGATCCTGTCACACAGAGGGAGGTGTGACTTCCTCTCTGGGTCTCCTGTAGTCTCAGCCTTCTCCAAACACTGAAATAAAGGGGTTCTGATCTAATTTTTGAGCAATGCCAATGATTTTAACAAAAGCTACTCTTAATCAACATTAAATCATTGTTCTTTCAAACTACTCTCCACAGAAAAGCTATTGCAGCACTGGAAACTAATGTTTTTACTATACAATTTGGAAGATTAAGAGAAGATATTTTCAGTTTTTCCTTCCTTGCAATATCTTACACACTATAAAACTTATGGCAGATCTAATTTTTTCTACATAGTTAGGTTAATTTGTGTACATCCAGTATTTGTTCAGATGACTTTCCTTAATTTATAGAAGCTTAAGTTTTCTAGTAACCAGAGATAAAAGGTGTATTTACTCAGAAACTGGTTTCAAAATGTTTTCCACAATGAGTGTTTTTTTATTCCTATTTTAACTGAGAAATACCAGTTGAAACAAAGAGACAAAGGCACAGCAGCCCCAGCTTCTCTAAATCAGCACAGAAAGTGGTTTTAACTAGAGCTCACTGATTTAAATTAAGGCTGCAACAACCACGAGAGACAAGTGAGCAGAAATAAGCCCTAGAAAAGTGATTTTTAGAAGATGCAGCAACTCGGATAGATCTGCACCACTAAATGGCTATTTTGACTGCAGCAGGTACACAGGCACACTCAAGCTGTTGATCTTGCACACACAGCTACTCCACCAGCAAAGCCAAAGACAGAGAGGCTTCAGCAAAGGTCACACAAGCCCACGCAGACCCTGGACATTCACCTTAGTGCCAACCCATGCTGTCATTGCTCCTACTGCCCCTCTCATAAGAACAACAAAAAAGCTAGTTTAGAGGCTCCTCATGCCTTTCAATACTACCTCCAACCACAGTGTACTGCTGCTCACAGAGGAAACAGTAGGAATTGTTTTTGTTAAAAATTCCAGTACTAATAATCACATTTATAATCACACATTTTCCGGATTTCTATAGGTAAACTACAGTTAACTAATTAAGTGTAATATTATATACACCTATTAGCACTTAGAACTGTGTCCACTTTCAGACAGTCCAAGATAGGTGCTGAAAAACTGCAGCAAGTTCAGCAGAGTCACCAAGTGGACCAGGACCACGTAGGGCACTTGCCCTATACCAACAGGCTGAGGGAGGT